TTGAGAAACACCGCCTGCAGAGGCAAATTTACGCACAAAAGTGGCTCAAATCTTCGCCACCACTCTCGAGATCTTTATCTATGGGGCTTGCCGAAACTGCTGCGCAATCCTGAACAAAACAACAGACGACGCATCCCGCAAGGGTCTGTCCAAAATGTCGTCGATTTTCGCTGCCTGGCACAGCTCTTCGCCGGCTATCAAAGCAGACAGCTGCCAGCCCCGCAGCGGTTCAGACCTGAAGCAGGCAGGCCGCCCAGCCCGCACCGTTCAGATCTCTACCGCGGGGTCAGCCTTCCCCACTGGTGCTCCGCGTCGCATTGCTTCTGCAGAGGCGTCAGCGGCTCAGACCTGAAGCAGGCAGACCGCCCAGCCCGCACCGTTCAGATCTCTACCGCGGGGTCAGCCTTCCCCACTGGTCTCCGCATCGTATTGCTTCTGCAGAGGCGTCAGCGGCTCAGACCTAGATTGTTCGAATGGTCAAGATTTTTCCCAAAAAGAGTGGCAGCTGGTAGTGGTGTTTGGTCAGGCGGCAGTCGGCCCCTCAGAGTTCCTGTCCGGTGGCAGTATGGCATGACTGAACATCGTTTTGTTCAAGTTTCGATCAGACTAGGACGAGACTGGATTTAAGTCCCTCAAAAGTGGGGTTCATTGCAATGAAATCAGGAGCAGGTTTGTAACTGCGGTGGGGTTCACATTTTGATAACCTGGATATTCAGCTTTTAGTGGTGCAGGTTTAAACATTTATAGATGGTTGTTATCAAAACTTGTAAATTGTTGATCGCTTCCACCGCCGGGTACCTCAGTACACCGGCGAGTTTTTATCGAAGTCGGTGCTTGGTTGCATGAAAAGTTTACCATACCCAGATGACGTAACACATCTGATGGCAACTTGTCCGACAGCGTCTTTTGGCCGGGAAAAGATTATTCCACCGTGCGACAGGGCTACTGCGACAGGGATCAGGTCACTTGAATGCCCGACGGATCGAGACTTTGGCAGCTGGGGTTTGCTCCGATCAAGAGACTGACAAAGGCTTGGTCATGATCTTGTCCGATGTTTTTGCGTGTAGTTTTTATTTTCCGTGCCGTCCGCCCACGCCACTAGTCTTCAGTAGGTATACGAGTCACTCGCATCGCCTAGCGCATGCCAGCCATGCCGATCTGGCATGCTGGGATCACGCCGAAGCCTTTGACATGCAGGCGCACCCAGAACGCAGCACGCAGACAGGACCGGATACCGACACGCCACTTTTCTGTTAACGTTTTAAAATGGGACGATATTCATCACTATGGGTTTCTGGGTGCGCCTTTGCTTGACAGCAGTCGGAAATTTCTAGCACCCTCCAGCGAGCAAGAGTTCCTTCACGTTCTGTAATGCTCCCCGTAATGTCTGCTTTTTGGCGCAGTCCTACTGTGATGTGTTTTAGCTAATGGACCTTCCGCGCTGCCCTTCTAGCGGGCTCAGCATGCGTGCTCATGCTGATATCACCGCTTCTAGAACAGTAGCTAGACCACTCAGTGCGTTTCAACTTCACTCTTTACATATGTTTGCAAAAGACTACTTTCGAACTGTCACTGCGCCGAGTAACGTAAAGAACCGCAACTCACGCACTGCCCACATGTGCTATGGTGATGACTGCGCGCCATCAGGCCGATGACGTCACCGCGTTGTCCGCTGTTCCCAGCCGCGTCGCAGTGTGTTGTTTCCCCCGCGGCCCGGGCGCCGCCGCGCGCCCGCCCCCGGTTCCGCCCCCGCCCCGCGCCGCGTCGTTTCAGGGCCGTCCGGAGCCGGCCGGCCCGCAGCACGCCGGTGAATGTGGCCGCGCCGTGTATGGCTGGCGTGGCGGCGGCGCGTCAATGTCGCTTTACAGCCCCGGCGGGCGCCGTTTTGGCCGCACCGTGCCCGGTCGGTGTGGCGCCGGGCGTTTTTTGTCTAGCGCTTAGGCGGGCGTAGCCTGAGCGGTTGTGCTGGAGGCGCTGTCGCCTGTCCGCCGCTTGCCGTGGTTCTGTGCTTCTCTCCGCGGCGCCGCGCGGTCTTCCCGGCGCACTGACGACACACGGGACTTTCTGACAGCTGACAGCAGGGAAAGACGGCTTTTGCACGTCGCCTCTTTCGCAGCTGGATCCAAGTGCGTGCGCACTCGTGCGCTCGCATCATAAAACCACACACTTCTGTCGAAAATGGCTATTCTCTGCCCGCGCTCTCTCACACCCAAGTGCACGACACCAGAACACCACACGCTTACTGTCATCTGGCCCCGATGTTCCCGCCGATGTGGCTGCTGGCCGGCTGGCGATGGCTGTGCTGTGACTGTGATCGTGCGACTGTGACCGTGACCGTGGCGGCGCGCCGTCGCTGCTCTCTGCTGATCGGTTTCCGTTCTCCCACCTAGACGGACCGGCCATAGTGGCCATAAATTTGATGATTCGTAGCATTGCTCGCATTGACGATGTCACAATGGTAAGTGTCTTCGGATCACCGCCGCCATCGTCATTTAGCCTCTAGCATGTATTGCTAGCATGGAATGCTGGCACCGCCGTACTTGTTGAGCTTCGCGCTTCGCAGTCTGCTGCCCACCCCGGTTTGGCTCTCTGTTCGTCCAGTCCGCGCTGGCTTTTTAGTCCTTAGCCTGCCGCCCGTTCGGTTCTGCGGCCTTCAGCATTTTGTGCATACTCCACAGTGTTATACGCCGGTGTAGGAGTGGCCGGCTGCAGCGTAGAGGCAGGCAGCCCGGCGGCCCGCTCGGACCCGTGCCCGCGCCCAGCCCGTCCCCTCTAGCGGCTCCGGTGGCCTGTGCCCTCCCCAGCCATCCATAGCTCGCCCGCGCGCGCCGCGCGCGCCGCCCGGCCGCCGTCGTACTGACGCCGCTCTGTCTGTCTCGCGCCAGTGAACCAACCCACAGTTGTGTCAGTCAACATCCTCATCAGGTCGATCAGTAAAATAGATGACTACCGGATGGTGAGTTGGGTGTTGGCCCGGGCGCCGCCGGCCGGTCCGGTGGGGTACCGCCGCCTCCGGACCGGCCGGGCTCGCCGCACGGCGTGGCATGCGCATGCGCAACCCACCGCGCCGTCAGCGCGCCCCGCTTGGTGTTCCGCCATCAGCTGCCGCTTGGTTGACGGGGCCGGCCGAGAAAGTCGGACTTGCATGGGGTCTGTCGGGGCGGTGTGAGCGCGGCGTCTTCGCCGCGCTGGTGGCGGTCGATCCAGGCTCGGAGCTGTGCGCAATCGATGCCTCTTTCACCTCTCTCTCTCTCTGACCCACGTTGTCGTCCCGTCATCCTTCTCTATCTAGTTTTCTGATTCTCCTCCCTGTGGGTTTCTGTGCCTTCTCCTATGATCGCCCTTTTTCACGATTCCTTTCTATTTTATGTGCTTCTCTCTACGCTTCGTTGTCGTCTTTTCCAGCCCGTCTCCCTTCTCTCCATCACTCACCGTGTCTGCGCCGTGTCCTGCTGCCGTCACCTATCCACCGCACTCGCTGCCTCTGGTAGCTGGCCCCGAGCAAACCCCGCTCCGTTTCCCCGTGGTGTGTGTTTGTTTGCGTTGCCGCCGCAACCGCCGCCTATCTGTTTGCCTGCCGCGCGACCTGGCATGTCGGCTGGACCGCACAATCTCGGCAAGACCCGACAGCTCGGGAGTACTCCCGACGGAGCCCTGATGGTCTTCAGGGGGGCGGACTTCCGATCCCAGGGGATCCCGTTCGTCCGCAGATATCCTGGTGTCGTCCGTGCGGATGCCGGTCCGTCTGGGTACGTCAAACTTGAAACCCCGTTGAGTTCTAGGCAATGTGGGTCGAGCCCAGGTCTGCAGCGGTCTCACGTCTGTCCCACTAAAGGCCGTGGATCACGCAAGGCTGGAAATAATCTCCTAAGCCCCCTCAGAGACCAGGAGGAATCTCTGAACTCCTGCAGACCATCAGAGGGTCTAAGAAGACCTGCCGGATCCTACCAGCGCCAGATGAACGAGAGATTAGAGCGCCAGAACAACGAAACAAATCACCTAGCATATCTGACGGTGACCTTGACACTGCTGACAGAATCGGTGGCACGTCACTGAATATCCGGCGCGCTGTCGATCGACGACCGTCGAAGCCGACGGGCCGCGGCGCGCAGCCTCCCCGGCCGTTTGAAGTGCCGACAGAGCCGCCGCTGCCGGCGGCGCGCCGCCTCCCAGCCTTCTTAGAGCGCCGACGACGGAAGCGGCCCGGCGTGTCGGGCCGGGCCGGCGCGAGGCGCAAACACGCCGGCCGGTGGCGTCCGGCCGTAAACAGCCTGCTCGACGGCGAAGGCGGCCGCCGTCGCCGCCGACACGCGCTCTCGATGGGACCGGCTGGCGGCCGACAGCGAGCGACGCTCGCCAGCTGGCGGCGCCGCACCCGTCGCTCGACTGCGGCGACGGTCGACCCCGGCGTGGCGCTGAGTCGGCCGACCGGCTCCAAACCGGCCTGTTTACTGATGCGCCCGGTTATTAGATGAAGCGGGGTCGGCCAGCTCTCGCTATTTTCGGTGCTTCGGCGGGAGATGCGAGCTGAGAAGGGGCGCTCGTTCGCTCCTAAAAGTGGAGGACAGATGGAGATGTGGGAGTGGGATCCGGCGGTTAAACGAGAAACTTGATGCCATTCTTTGTAACGTCGGCCCGAGTCGGTCCGCCACTTATGGTACCGCAGTAAAAATAAAATAAACTGGAATACAGCCGGGCAAACGATAGCTGCTAAAACGTGAGCTGAACTGAGAGCGATGGCAAATAACGACACCGATGACGAGCTGGACTCAAAGAAGGGATGGTCTCACACACAAGACGAGCTATGCTGAGGAATAAACTTGAACACGGACCGGACCAAAATGAAGGATAAACTTCAACAAGATCAAGCGTGCGACGCGAGCAGCGAACACAAAGCAGCAAGAATAGGCGCCTGGGCGGCACCCGGCCGTTGCAACTGGCTCGCTTTCAGCCGCTATGGACCATCGTCGACTCCACTCACTCGGAGCGATGCCTAAAGCCTCCCTAGTTCTTGGAACGATTATCCAGCGGCTCTGTGCTGAAGCATGCCTTTTAAAAGCGGATTTTGAGCCGAGTGCACTGGGCAATGCAAGCTTTTTATGTTCGCATGTTAATGAACCAGACCAATCTTTTAAGTGCTGTATGCGATTACATGGCGCAGTAAGCTTCAGGATGATCATATGTCCAAGAGTAATACTTTTTTAAGTGGTCGTAATTTGTGTTCGTGTAACAGTCAGTTCTTGCTCTACTCGTGTGGATTAAATGCGCCGATCTAGCCGGCGAAACGCAAATGTCGTATTTGAAAGCCTCCCAGTGTGTTTGTAGCTAAGTTAATTGGTTTTAACGATGTTTTTCCGCGCGTGCCTGCATACTGGAGGCACGCATCGTTGTACCGAAGTGCTGAGCGGCGACAGCACGTCATTTGTCCCGTCCGGTCCATCCCTCCACGTCATTTGTCCCGTCCGGTCCATCCCTCCACGTCATTTGTCCCGTCCGGTCCATCTCTCCACGTCATTTGTCCCGTCCGGTCCACCTCTCCACGTCATTTGTCCCGTCCGGTCCATCTCTCCACGTCATTTGTCCCGTCCGGTCCACCTCTCCACGTCATTTGTCCCGTCCGGTCCATCTCTCCACGTCATTCGTCCCGTCCGGTCCACCTCTCCACGTCATTTGTCCCGTCCGGTCCATCTCTCCACGTCATTTGTCCCGTCCGGTCCATCTCTCCACGTCATTTGTCCCGTCCGGTCCACCTCTCCACGTCATTTGTCCCGTCCGGTCCATCTCTCCACGTCATTTGTCCCGTCCGGTCCATCTCTCCACGTCATTTGTCCCGTCCGGTCCACCTCTCCACGTCATTTGTCCCGTCCGGTCCATCTCTCCAGCACTTGCGCGACCTCGCCGGCGCTCTGGCCGCGGTGCTGACCCGCTCCGGTATTGCAGGAGTACAGCGTTCAGCTCATCTTCCGCGAGAAGTGGACCGATGAGAGGCTCAAGTTCGACGACATGCAGGGTAGGTGGCCGCAGGCCGTCTGTCAGCGAGCCTCGAGCTTGACCTCTGACCCAGGCTTACCGCGTGCCGCCCGGCCCAAACGGCGGCGACGCCAGCACAGCCCGAGCTGCGCTGTGCACTGGCACAGGCCGCACTGTGTGTCGGGCGAGCCGGGATAATCCCATCGTTCTCTGGTTGCCCGTCTGGGCCTTTGTGACGATGGAAGTGCTGTGCTCGGTATTCTGGTCGAATGGCTACGGCACCGAAGTCAATTGCCTGTCCGCAGTCGGCGGGAGTTTATGTCCACCAGAAGCAGTTGTGTTTTCCCAACAAGGAGAGTAGTCTTCACCATTCAACTCCACTGATCATGTCATAATGCCGCATATCTCGATGAATACTCGGCGGCATTGTAACGCATTCGGGATGGCGAAATGGCATCATTCTCGAGTGGTCACATGAATACGTGCTAGGTCTAGGCAATACGCCTTTGTTGCCTGAGAATTCTTCAAAAAACACTAAACAGTCAAGGTATTTGACTAAGGCAAGTTCTACGGGATTGGCCCCGTGTGACAAACTCCCGCGCTGGCCTGCAGCGAGCGTCATGGAGCTGGGGCCGGCTAGGGCGATCCTCGCCGGGCCAGAGCCACCCGTCGCCCCGCTAAGCGCCGCTACCGTCGACAGGTCGCGTCGGCTACCTGACCCTGACCGACCCGCGGCGCATCTGGATGCCCGACCTCTTCTTCAAGAACGAGAAGACGGGTCACCTGCACGAGATCACAATGCCCAACATGTACATCCGTATTTTCGCCGACGGCGGAGTTCTGTACAGCGTGAGGTGAGTGGCGTGTCAGTGCTGCGCTCTGCGCCGCCGCGCGCTGCCGTCCCCTGTTCGGACGTGTCCTGCTCTGTCCGGACGTGTCCTGCATTGTCCGGACATGTCCTGATCTGTCCGGACGTGTCCTGCTCTGTCCGGACGTGTTCTTCTCTGTCCGGACGTGTTCTTCTCTGTCCGGATGTGTTCTGCTCTGTCCGGACATGTTCTGCTCTGTCTGGCGTGTCCCGCTCTATCCGGGCGTCGCCTGGTCTGTCCGGACGTGTCCTGCTCTGTCCGGACGTGTTCTGCTCTGTTCGGACATATTCTGCTCTGTCTGGCGCGTCCCGCTCTGTCCGGTGCCGGGTCCGGCTCGGCGGCGGCCCGGCGCAGTGGCCAGCTCTTCGGTCGTCCCGCGGGAGTTGACGCCAAAGGTTGCGGGCTTGGATCAGGATTGGTTCTGGTTGACGGTGACGTGATTGGTGGGAAATATGTGACGTCAGTGGGACGGTCGCCACGCGCAGCCCAAACGGAGCCACAGCAAGATGAATCCGAGATGAAATCAATGTCGTGCAGCATTGTATCCGCAATAAAACTGTGCGAGATGGTTGCTCAGTCTTCCCTTACGTCAGTGCTGACGTAGCATGAGCTTATTTTGCTTCATTTATTCGTCTGCGGATGACGCTGAAGTCTATGTCAATCAAACAATGCCATAGAAAACTATCCCTAAGCCATCTGAGAGGCGTTACACAGTTACATCGTGATATTGCACAGCAGGAGCAATTCAGAATCAATAACGGCCTCCACGACCTTAAAATTGTGAGTTGGTATTGCTTATCAAACTCGCAGACGCCAAGGAACTCTTCGTGCGTGACTAAAGTAAACACATTGTAACTCTCGGTGTTATCTTCTGAAGCATATGAACCATTTGTTCGCCGGTTGGAAATGGCAACAAACACGCAGGATTGATGCCACCGGATAAAGGTGGCATATGAAGTACCTGCATTTTTAGATCCGTTAACATGAAAGAGTTTACCTTCCGACGGCCTTGAATTACCGCACGTAACTGTCAGTGGAATCATTGCCACTTGGATTTATGAACTCCAGAAATGTTCTACTGCACTTCATCCGGAGCTTACTTAATTAAACCCAACGGTGATGAAAATGGCGAGCAATAATTTATGCAATTTCTGCTTATGGCCGTGGCTGAGTGATGACGGACTGTCAGTTACTAAGCATCACCCTGATCGACGTCACCACTTCGGTGCATCGGGAGACGGCGAGTCGCAGCGGCTTGCAAATATTTCGTGACTCCTTGCAAGCAGCTGGTCTACACCTCGCAGTGTTAATTGCCGGCGAGTGACTCGTTTAGAAACGCGGTTTGTTGACGTGAGGGGTAATCATTTGAGGCCCGCCATTTGGCTACTTTGCGAAGTGTTGAAGCGCCTTCTGCATCAGTGACTGACGAATCAGGGAGGCCTGCGGGTGGCCCTTTGAATGAGCAAAGGATGCCGAGTGAATTAGGAACGATCGCGACCAACTGATTGCTGAGGACGTCATTGCCAGCGGCACCTCATTACACGCCGCCACGCTGCAACGCCAACTCATAGCTTGGTACGATCAAGCTGGCGACTCTTGACACTGGTCCTTCCGGGGCTCCTCGCCATCCCTCTTCGTCGGAAAACTTCGACCAGCGAGGGTGTCCCTCAGCCTCTGTCGAGGGCATCCAGTCAGCCCCCGTCAGAAGCGTCCCCTCAGCCTCTGTCGAAGGCGTCTCCTCAGCCTCTGTCGAAGGCGCCCTCTCAGCCCTTGTCGAGGGTCTCTCTTCGGCCCCTGTCGAGGGCGTCCCCTCAGCCCCTCTCGACGGCTCCGCACCTAGACGCGAGCCCCAGACGGCCTCCCGCTGACCCCTGGTTCGGCCACACTTCCTTGGCTCTCCTCGCGCTGCCCGGACGAAACAGACCGAGCCGGCGGTTTTGGCCGGGCGGCGATGAATGGCATCATGTTTACTGCTAGAGGCGTCACCCGACGAGCCCCGCCGCAACTCAGATTGAGCGAAACGGATCAGCGGATAAGTTTGCGGCGTTTCCAACGACGCCGGGTGCCACACCCGGGGACAATTTCGCCGAACAGAGCTGGGGACAGTGGCCGATTGGATTGGAGAACAGAAATTCCGAAGCCGGCAGTGGGAAGCCCTCTCGGTAACTGCGAGCTCAGATAACTTCGGGGCTTTCGCTTATTTGAACCTGAGCTCGGCCGCTCCTTTCCCCCATGCCTCTTTCCATTTTGTCTTGTCTCCCTCTCTCTCTCTCTGTTTCTCGCCCCTCCCCCTGTCCTTTTTCACTCCTTATTTTGGCTCGCAACTGGCGCTCTTTCCAGCTGATAAGGCGATGTTGGGCCGGAAGTTAGAAGTCCAATCATTAGCGGCAATGCGCCGTCGAATAAGCTTTGCAAGCGTATCCCCGCTGGCTAAAAACTTTCCGCTCCAATTTAGAGCTGAATGTCTGGTCCTGTGGATGAGTGGTGCATTCAAGTGGCGCTCTGCCTCAGGCAGCCGGCGAGGCATTTAAGCATGCTCGGGTATTCAGCAACTTTCAGGCTCTTCACGACCAGCAGGGTATAACGAGAGCGTCGGAGACTCCTTTCACTGAGATTAGAGTGTATTGGTTCCATTGAGCGCATCTAGCATGGAGAAATGTGTAGAAAACTTTCAGCACCATCACAGGCCAGTCGACCTTGCAGGCTGCCGTATTTTCTTTGTGATCCCCCGCGCGGCGATTTGAAATTTCATTGAAGTCGCAAGATCAGTCAAAGAATGCGCAGCGATTGAGAACTGATTTCCATATCAGAGGCGGGTGGAGTCAAGCAATTGATAGCTACGCTTTGGATGCTGGAATGAAATGCACGTCAAACCGCCGCATATCTCAATTCCGGGAAGACTTCAGCCGAAGTTTTCGTGGTGCCAACTATTCTATATGGGCTGCCGCTTTTTGCAATATGTTTGCATTATTCTGGCCGGGTGAATTGAATGAAATTCCGGGGTCGTCAGTGAAGCGTTAAACCGATGGGTCTCAAGTGAACTGTATATCACTGGAACAGCAAACGAAACAAAAGATTAGGTGGAGATTACAACAAAAAACCTCTTGGCTTGCTAATCTGCCGAAATGAGAACTGAACACTTTCTTTCTAGCCAAGCAGTTTATACCGGCATAACTCTCCAAACATACCAGCGCGCGCCTGCAATCTCTTCTCACCTTGGTCCGTCATGAAACCCATCAGCCTGGGTGTGCTTCTGTCTTTCGTATTCTGATAAAGCGGCTGAACGAGGATGGCCTTCATAAAGCACAGCGATCGATCATGCGGCTCGCCGAGACGCTAAACAGTTTACAACTCCGCTACCGAGTTCCGAACTTGAGCCGCTCGTGTTTCGGCTGTTTGGATTTAACGGCGGGCCAGGCGGGCGCATCACCTGCAGGGGTCGCCACGGCCGCGCCCGGGCGGCGGCGCGTCAGATTTGCGAGCTGCTGGAGCCTCTCAGCCGAACGAGGCTGGTCTGAGGCGCAGCCGGCGAGCCGGGCGCGCGCTCCCGGTGACCGGCGGCTGCGTTAGAGCTGGCGGCGACCATCGACTCGGGCCGGCTGTCTAACGGCTGGCTGCCCAGACGGGAGGCAGCCGAGGGCGCGCCGCAGCGGCGACATCTGGCGGCCGCCGCGCCGCAGACAGCGGCCGGGTTGACTGTACTCGCAGGCTGTAATTTGTGGTGGAGCGCCTCAGCACCTCGGTGCTTGACTGTGCCGAGCCTGGCTGGCAGGGTTCGAGGTTTTTGGAAAGATAGACGTCACCCGTCAAAACGTGCCTGCTTTGAAGTTATCGCTGGTTGTGTTTCGGGTTTCTCTTGCATTCAACGGGAGTGGCACCGATGCTATCACCAACAGTAATGCATGTGCGTGGTGAGATGCCATAGCATCGACAAACAGCATTTGAATGAGCCGTCATTGTGACAGGTGGCATAGTCTCGTTGACTTATTGAAACTAACGCCGCGCTGGCTCCATTACGCGGCATAACTAGTTTTGCACATTAAATTCCGAAAGCGAACGGCTCACGGCTCACGGCCCACGGCCCACGGCTCACGGCCCACGGCTCATGGCTCACGGCTCACGGCTCACGACACACGGCTCACGGCACACGGCTTATGGCCTACGGTTTACAGCTCACGGCTCACTGCTTAAGGCTCACGGTTCACGGCTCACGGCTCACGGCTCACGGCTCATGGCTTACAACTCACGGCTCACGGCGCACGGCTTAAGGCTCAAGGCTCACAGCTCACAGCTCACGGCTCACGGCTCACGGCTCACGGCTCACAGCTCACGGATCACAGCTTACGGCTCGTGGCCCATGGCTCATAGCTCATAGCGCATAGTTCATAGCTCACGGCACATGGCTCACGGCTCACGGCGCACGGCCCATGGCTGACGATCCACGGTCTGCGAGTGACAGCTCCCGAGAACCACTTCCACAGCCGTGATTTGGCTAGAGCTGTCACCGCCCTAACCTTGAAAGGGTCAGCCCAACTATCATTCCACTGTCTTCCGCCATCGTGTTGTCTCTGCAACCCGTATGGAATTGCTGGGTCACGTACAGTTTACTGAGGCCGAGAGCAAACAAGCCGGCCGTAATTTGCCTCTCTCGCCCCGGCCTGTCTTTTGGTTTTCTTTCGGACCCCCTTTGTATGCGCGTGGGTCGGAGGGTGCGTGCGCTTGTCTGTGCCAGCGGCCTGAAAATCGGTGAGCTATGTAGCGCACCGCTACATGACATACGAATCTGAACTTCATTGGCCGGGGCCGGCTGGCACCTGGTGGTGTGCGGACCGAGGGACTGAGACGTACAGAGAGCCAGTTCACAGTCGACCGCTCGGCGTCAGCTGATGCTTGCTGGCCTGCTCAGTAGGCAAGTTATTCTTTTTAATCCAACGACAGTCCTGTAGAGTGATGGAGAGTGACTGGGCCCTGACCGGGACTGTCAGTAGG